GAGGGCATTTACACCTGGTCTTTTCACGATCTGATAGCTATCCGATCAGACAAAACGCATGAAGTGACCAGGTGTAAACAGCCCCTTAGATTGACACACAGTTGGGTTAATACTCTTGAGTTTTTATGTCGCTTGCCAACCAAACACAGGCTAATGAACGTTAAACGTCTGCCATGTATTTACATTGCCAGCTTTTATAATACTGCTATCCGTGTCATTTTATAAAAGCAATCACAGAGGGTTTCACCGTGGGTTACCGCTTTAATAAATGATCCAGTGATCAACGGCGTCTGGTGTTGGGAGGGAACACTTTCGTAACGCAGACTAGATGACACGCACATCTCAAAATCCCCAGACTTTCCTCTGAGTGACAACACTGTGAAAGGGCTTCAGTGTGACGAGCTCTAAATAAGGGCACGGCGGGAGCATTTGGGTCACCGTCGGCGCTGGAATGTGTTTCTCAGCAGGAGGCGAAGCGCGTCTCCCTTCAGGTCATTTAACATAGAGACAAAAACACTGCGGCCACGCCTACAACTCCATGTCTCACGAGTAACTGTATTATCATGCTAAACACTGCATTTTAAACCAGAACCTGTCTGGTTTAGCACCTTCCTGGGTTTGTTTGTTCTTCACACGGTCTTGAAGTGTTGTTTTGTGCTCGTCCATGCGGAGGGTAATGCGTGTTATGCAATCCTGCGTTCCCGCTCTCAGTGAGCTGCTGGGTTTCTGTCTGAACACTGCTGGAGACTTTGGCTAGTTCTCCAGACTCTGAGAAATGCTCACATGGCGTTTGACTAATGTTTAGTCTTGCTGATCTTTGCAGTTGACAGATACTTGTTAAGGCTTCTACAACAATAACAAGTGAAATACCGCAGAATACTAGCATTTTAGTATCATTTATATACTATTATAATTTTTATTATTATTATTTTGAATTAGTAAATCAAAATTCAGTGTTTTAATTTTAGAATTTAAATTTTAGGTACATTTTATGCAATTTTTTTTAAGTTTTAATTTTTAAGTTACAAGTTTTAAGTTGTAATTTTGTTGTGGTTTTGTCATTTTTATTTTTTCAGTTTTAGTACTTAAACTTAACAAAAATGAGAAATTTTGCAAAATAAATAACTGAAATAAGTTTTTTTTAATTAAATCTTGATTTCATTTATCTCAGACATTAAATAGAAACTATAGCAGTGTTATTTTGTTTTTAATTGATATGTTGAATTAGTCTTTATTTTTATATTTTCATTTTTTAATTTTAAGTTTTAATTTTGAAGTTTAAATTGGTAATTTTGTTGTTTTTATCATTTTTAATATTTTTTAAAAAGTGTAATTATAGTTATTTTAGTATTTCAACTTAACAGAAGTATTTAAAAGTATTTATTAGTATTTATCATTAGTATTTATCAGAAGTATTTATTAGTATTTAAACTAAACAGAATTTAGAAATGTTGGCAAAAAAAGATAAGTGGAATAAAATCATTTCTTAACATTTTAATTTATTTCCGTAACCTCAGACATTAAAGAATAGAAATTACAGCAGTGTTATTTTAGTATCATTATTATGCTAATATAGTTTTTAGTTTAAGTTTTTATTTTTAAGTTTAAATTTGTAATTTTGTTGTGCTTTTTTGTCATTTTTATTATTATTTGTCTATTTAGTTTTTAGTAATTCGTATTTCAGTTTACTGTTTTAAAAAAATATATATTTTAATTTCAGTTATCTTTTATTTTATTTCAAGTAAAGAAAATGTTTTTAGTTTTAGTGATCGTTATAGTGCTTTCATGAAGCCGATAATTAAATATAAATATTTTTATAGCTGATGACCATTATGATGGCTGATATTATACGTCTGTTTTACTTTTTAATAATATTTTAAAAATATATTATAGCATCGAACCTTAAGCTTAAATCTGCTGAAATCAAACGTCTAAATATTGTATTTTAAAACATTTTACAATAGGAAACAACTATACAGAAACAGAAAAAGTTACAATGTATCAAAAGTTACAATGTATCAAAAGTTACAATGTATCAAATGTTACAATGTATCAAATTATTCCGCATTACAAAAAAATCAACTAAAGCAGTGAGATTGTGATATGGTTTTAATGCGGATGAGTGTGTGTTCTGACCCGGTGGCAGTAATGTACAGCAGAGACGATCTGTCTGAAGAAATGTCTGGCTTGGCTCTCAGAGATGTGCGGTTTGTCGCAGATGTAGTCGTACAGATCTCCTTTACTGGCGTACTCCATCACGATCACGATCTTCTCCTTGTTCTCGAACACTGAAACACACCAATCACGTTACACCGCTATATGCAGCATCAACACAGTCAGGCCTGTTTCTGACCGTTACATTTATTCAGAGAGAGAAAGACAGCAGTGCTGACGAGCAGGTTATGTTAACGAGGTGTTCATTGTGGTGCGCTGAAGCACACTAAAGCGCTTTTTGGGGTTCGTCTCGATTGCATAATGAGAACAAAGAGCTCTGCGTGCGTGTGAATGCTGTACCTTCATCGATGCTGATGATGTGCGGATGAGCCAGAGACGACATGATCTCGATCTCGCGCCGCATGTGCATCAGATCCTGCTCGTCTCGGATCTTCTCCTTACGGATCGACTTTATGGCCACCTGGAGAACGAGACCGAACACCAACATCAGCGACCATCCATCACTGTAAACCATCCTAAACTGTTATTATGGAGTACAATATTGTACAAAGAGCAAAAACTAGCCAGAATCTAGTTAAAGTTATTATATAGATATATATATTTTTAATTATATTTAATCATTCTAATTTATATTCACCAATATCACATTATATGGTCAAATAGAGCACTGTTTACTTACATAAAAGCATTAAAATCATCACAATAATTACAGTGTAGGTTAATTTGATATATTATAGTATATTATAGTATTTTTTATTAAATATGAAAAAACTATTTAGGTATTTAACATATTAATAACACTAATATTAAATATGTTAATTTTAATAGTATAAATCATATATTTAACAGTATGTAATATTACATTTATTACATTTTAAACAATTACATTAATTTAAAATATTTACAATGTAGGTTAATCATATTATTATATTTAATATTATTTCATATTAATAGTATTTATTAAATGTGAAATACAGTAATATTTAATATATTACATATTTAATTAAATGTTAATATATTATTAATATAATTAATATTATGTTCATATAATATTATGAATAAATATATAAATATAAAAGAATATTATTTCATATTAATAGTATTCATTAAATGTGAAATGAAGTAATAATTTAAATATGTAATATATTAACTACTAATATTAAATATGTTAATTATATTAATATAATTAATATTATGTTATGTTAATATAATATAAATATAAAATAATATATTTAACATGATTTAAAATTAATACCACTGATTATTACATAAACAGTTATTCAATATTAATGTAAATATTTAACAAATTAATATTTACAAAGTTGGTTCATTATATATGATATTACATTACAGATATAATGAAATAAAATCATGTATATTTATTATATCGATATACTACATTTAACATCATTTAAGATTAATAGCATTAATTTATTACATATCAAACAATTATTAAATATCAATTTAAAGAAATATCGCCCATCCCTACTTTAGAGATTTCGTTCTTGTACATGTTTTGGATTTGGAACAAGAGACTTTAAATCCACAGAAAACGAATCAATGATTTCAAGCAAATGGTCATGTTTACTGGAAGCAGCAGCAGAACGATTTTCGTGTAAATCATTCGTCAGACACATCTTATATAACCTCGTCATATTGAAAGTGATATTTACACAAAAGACGGTTTACAGAGAAATTCATACTGCTTTCAGTCACAGTGAAATCATCAAAAACAGCAGCGAGTGACAGACACACTAGACTAGAGGAACCGGAATAACGCTGATATTCGTCTCCGGCTGATTGAGATGCGTGTGATGATGTCACGGGACACGTCTGCATGCGGTTTGTGTCTCGGCCTCTTTTGTCCATCTTTTGTCAGTGTGCTTGCAGGAATGTGTGTGTCGTCAGGCATGCTTGACATTCCAGCGGCTCTGTGTGTGTGTGTGTGTTAGAGAGAGAGTGTGTGTGTGTGTGTGTGAGTGTGTGGGGGGGTGTGTGAGAGAGAGTGTGTGAGTGTGTGTGTGTGTGTGTATGAGACTGTGAGTGAGTGAGTGAGTGAGTGAGTGTTGAGTGTGAGCTTTTCAAAGTATTTTCGAAATTGAAAATATAATTTAAATGTTTAATAAAAAAATAATAAATAATAAAAAGGGGTAAATGCGGTAATATAACATTCCAAACCTGACGTTTTTTGTCATTCCTTCATTAATTAGAAGTTGCTGATCAGATACAATATGGTTTTAGATTAAAAATATTAAGTTATGACTGATAAAACACCAATGTGGAAACAGGACAGATTTAATGGTTAAACCTTTTTAAGTTTTATGGTGCTTTAAAGACACAAAAACCAAAAGCTAAAGATCCGGGAAGCATCATGAAGATCTCCAGTAGACTGATATAACAGCCCAAGACCCCGAAATCACCGGCTCTGAATCAGCAGCAGCTATAAACCTCTGAAGAAGCTGCTCCAGTGTCCACTAAAACCACACGCCAGATCTATGAGTACTGTTATCAGGAGCATTCACTCTCTCTTTCCTCAGAAGAACGAGCTGAACAAACAAAAGCCCGAGTGACGCAACTCCAGCTCTCCAGCACACAGAGGAAAACCCCCGACTGATATTGTCTGAAGAATCCTTCCTGCTTCTCTGTTTGAGGTTAAAGGAAAGCCAGCTGATTACGAGCTCGATCGCTCTGGACGTGGAAAAAGAAACAAAGCACCACAGTACTACAGTAAAAACACTGTGTTACCCTCTACGGCGTCTGAAAAACACAGCGTAACATCACAGAAATACCATTTTCTCCATCAGTATCTTTGTCTATTTTTGTGTTTTACACATTAATAAAATTTATAAATGTATAAATAAATAAATACATTTAAACATTCTTAAAACAAGAAATTTATTTGGGGAGAATAAATTATTTTAATAATTATTTAAAATAAAATAATTTATAAAATAATTTAAAAACTATTTTTTATATAAAAAAAGTATATATATATATATATATTTTTTTTTTTTCAGACAAAATACTTCTCTTGTTTTAGACATAAATCTTAGTTTTATGCTTCCAAGTAAAAAAAAACAAGCTTAATTGCAGATATATTCAGAAATATTATTTTACACAATGTTGCTAGTCATATAAATGTCATTCAGTATTTTTTGCTTTCCAATAGAAATATGTACAAATTCTTAGACCAGGATAGTTTTATTAATAATTAGCACTTGTTTTTATGTCTTAGGTACAAAAAATCATTTTTTTAGTCATACATCTATCAAAATGTAGTGTGTTTTGTGCTTCTGAGGTACGGAACAGTACTTTTACAGCAGATATATTGACAGAAAACATTATTTTATACAGTGTTGTTTCTCATTTAAGGTTGTCTTTACTGTAAAACAAGGCTAAAGTACGCGCTATGATGGTTCAAAAACCTCCGCATCCAGCCTTATTCATCACCAGGGGTCAAAGGTCACATTTCAGCACAAATCAGTAGAATAATACAGGACTTTTCATTTTTCTCAGCATGCTTTTAGGACCATTATGATTTTTTTTTTTTGCATTTTAACATTCTTTTTATGAAAATTAAACAAGGTTCTACACAAATTCTCATTACTGAAATGTATAGCACACATTTGTAAAATAAAGAAATATTAATTTATAATCCAATTAGATAAAATATATTGAGAGAGCATGAAATAAAGTATTTATAAAATATATATATATAAAGTATTTCTACATCATGATAATGTTTTATTGCAATTAAATAGTTTTTTAAAGCTATATCTCAATTAAAATCAAATTAAAAAACAAGTATAACAGTGATGAGAATAACCAGTGGAGTAAAATAAAATTATATTTATATTTACATACTATATACATATTATATTTACAATATATACTATTAAATATATAACATTTTATATTGAATTGTATATTGTATTGTAGAATAAATGTTTTTTAGAATACATATATAAAATAAACTAATATTAGTAATGAAATTATATATATACAGTATATAAACTAAAATACAAAATATTTACATATAGTAATGTTTATTTAATTTAATATTTTCCAAAACATAATTACTATTGTTTTTAAAGAGACATTATAACAGTGATAATTTAGGGTTGTGTGTGCTTAAATGTCATGAAAATAGTTTTAAATGCAAAAACAAATCAATAAAAACAATGCCGGTGATCCTAAAAATAGGCTTGACTTCATGACCTGCAGAATATAGAGTAGAACAACTGAGGAGTGACCAAGCCCTGTAAAAACAAGTTAGGGCTATTTAAAGCTCTTTCCAAAGGCTAGGCGGCTCCGCAGAACCGGTTTAGTGTTTACTGACAGCACACACAGAGCTCCTCAGGTCAGTGTTGAAGACCTTTGACCCTAGAGCGGCTCTCCTCAGAGACCTGCGTCATAAAAACTGCTTAAAACCTGCAGGAAAATTCAAAAACCATCCATAAACCCAAGAGAAAAGGGTTTTTTATTTTAAAAAAATATTTTTATATTTTATTCTAAATATTGTATTATTTTAAAATAAATTTTATTATTTTAAATTATTTAATTATTATTTTAAAATAAATAATTTTTATTATTTTACATTATTTAATTACTAATATTATTAGTATTCAGGTGACACTGCGGTGAGCGGCGCGTCCGGAGCGTCTACTTGAGTCCAGTGTGGGCGGGGCATCGCGCGGTGGGCGTGTCGCTGTTCGCCCGGAGTGGCTAGACTCGCGTGTGGGCGGGGCGTCTCTGAACATAAGCCCCGCCCCTCACGCTTGCGGTCTGTTGAGGGCTATCGCAGGTGGGCGTGTTTAAAATTTTACACTCAATCGATCTGCTTTGCCTCAGACACATTTATTATTTATGATCGTGTGAGCATGTGTTTGTTTCATGTAACGTCCACACTTCCCATTACATCACTCAGCTTCACTAATAAAACTGAAAGTTTAACCAGGAAGGGGTATTTTAGGGGAATTCATGTGTTTAGTAATGTGAACTTTTACATCGCGTTAACAGTGCAGTATGCTTAAATGCAATTCGTTTTATTAGTAGATTAGAGTGGCGCCATTTTGACGGGAATGAAAACGAGGCTGAAAATTACATTATCAATAAAATAACGCTCTTATTCCAGTTAATTAGTCATCTTTTTATAAACTTTGCAGCCGATGATTTACAACATTGTGTCAAATTTCTGTTTATATTAGGGTATATTAATGCAAACAGAACATAAATGTGGTAAATAATCACAAAAGCAGTGATTTAATTGGTGGGGGATGTGAAGTAGTGCTGGATTCACAGCAGATTTAACCACTAGAGGTCGCCAGGCTACTACAAACTTACTGTAGTATACATGTAGTGTACTACACCGACTGTGCATCACAGCGTTTATACCATATGACCCACAATCCTTTGCTTCTCTGAAAAAGAGTAGGTTGTGACAATTCCACAACTTTTTTCTTTTTTTAAGATAAAGATTAGCTGGATGCTATACGCACAGCGACCAAAGTTAGACAGGGGTGTGTGCTGATATCAAAATAATTTTATTACGCATTTAAATATTTCCTAATAGTGTAGTCTTTTTTGTGCGCACTTTGTTTATGTTCGCTAGGCCGAGAGGACTGCATTTCCCAGCATGCACCAGTCGCGCCCCGCCCACCGAGCGTCGCCAAACGGAGCAGCAGCGGCAGCGGCTGGTAGCGCAAACCTCCCGTATTTGGGCTGAAATGTGAAACATTCCCGAGGCGAACCGACGCAAACACCGGGATTATCGATGATCGGCGCTCATTCGCGCGGAAAAAGCCGCTGAACAGCCGCCAATTGCGACCCGCGACCCGGTTCGGCCTCCAGTCCGCCCGAGTGTGTGTTACCGATCCGAACCGCATTCGTCGAGCCTCCCGAGCGCCGATATCGGCCCGGTTAACGGGAGGCGGCTGTCGCGCGCGCGTGTGTGTGTGTTGATGCACTGACACACACACACACCGCTGGTTGTTGTTGTTGTTGTGTCGGCTCGGCTCGGTCCGTCCTGCGGTGATCCGGGTCTCTGCAGAAACAGCGGGAGTTCGGATGGATATGTGACGCGGACTCGCTCCGGATCAGGATGGAGAACCCGCAGAAAAACAACCCGCTGGTCAGAGAGCTGACCCGAGCCTTCAGCCACTACAACAAACACAACGTGTTCCTGAAGAAGAACCTGAAGGAGACCCTCACCTTCTTCCGCGAGATCCGACAGAACCACAGCAACACCTGCAGCAGCACACCTGCAGCGCTGGACACAGGTGAGTCCGGTGTGCTAGTGTGCCCGATATCCATACAGATATACATGAAATATGACAAAAGTACTAAAGCATAACATTAAACCTGAAAATAAAAAAATGCAAGCTAATTTAAAATATGAATAAGTGGTATAACATAAATATTATCAATAAATACGATATAATTAATGCTAAAATTGTATTAAAATAATAAAATGACCATAATAAGTGACTACAATTATAAAAGCATAATATGTATAATTATTTATGCATTTCCGTTTTTATGTTTTTTGTTGTTGTTATATATTCAATTAAATTTAATTTAAAATTACCTTCTTAAATATGTATATTTTACATAGCTACACATTTCTAACTTGTAAAAAAAACATTATTAAGTACAATTTATATACTATTGTAGTATTTATTGTAATGGCTTAATTAGTACTTTTGTTATACTACTTTTAATTAAATATTTATATAAAGTCTTACTATAATTTCTTTTAAATAAAGATTTCCATTTAGCTTACAAACGTATTTTTTTGATCTCAGATCTAGTTTTGGTGAATTTAGTACTTCAGCTTCACAAATGTTTTTTTTCCAGTTAGTTGTGAAGGGAACATTTCTAATTTAAAAAAAAAGTTTTAGTTAATAATAACAACACTGGAAGAAATGGCTGATATTTATAACGTTTAACCTCCCGTATTTGGGCTGAAATGTGAAACATTCCCGAGGCGAACCGACGCAAACACCGGGATTATCGATGATCGGCGCTCATTCGCGCGGAAAAAGCCGCTGAACAGCCGCCAATTGCGACCCGCGACCCGGTTCGGCCTCCAGTCCGCCCGAGTGTGTGTTACCGATCCGAACCGCATTCGTCGAGCCTCCCGAGCGCCGATATCGGCCCGGTTAACGGGAGGCGGCTGTCGCGCGCGCGTGTGTGTGTGTTGATGCACTGACACACACACACACCGCTGGTTGTTGTTGTTGTTGTGTCGGCTCGGCTCGGCTCGGTCCGTCCTGCGGTGATCCGGGTCTCTGCAGAAACAGCGGGAGTTCGGATGGATATGTGACGCGGACTCGCTCCGGATCAGGATGGAGAACCCGCAGAAAAACAACCCGCTGGTCAGAGAGCTGACCCGAGCCTTCAGCCACTACAACAAACACAACGTGTTCCTGAAGAAGAACCTGAAGGAGACCCTCACCTTCTTCCGCGAGATCCGACAGAACCACAGCAACACCTGCAGCAGCACACCTGCAGCGCTGGACACAGGTGAGTCCGGTGTGCTAGTGTGCCCGATATCCATACAGATATACATGAAATATGACAAAAGTACTAAAGCATAACATTAAACCTGAAAATAAAAAAATGCAAGCTAATTTAAAATATGAATAAGTGGTATAACATAAATATTATCAATAAATACGATATAATTAATGCTAAAATTGTATTAAAATAATAAAATGACCATAATAAGTGACTACAATTATAAAAGCATAATATGTATAATTATTTATGCATTTCCGTTTTTATGTTTTTTGTTGTTGTTATATATTCAATTAAATTTAATTTAAAATTACCTTCTTAAATATGTATATTTTACATAGCTACACATTTCTAACTTGTAAAAAAAACATTATTAAGTACAATTTATATACTATTGTAGTATTTATTGTAATGGCTTAATTAGTACTTTTGTTATACTACTTTTAATTAAATATTTATATAAAGTCTTACTATAATTTCTTTTAAATAAAGATTTCCATTTAGCTTACAAACGTATTTTTTTGATCTCAGATCTAGTTTTGGTGAATTTAGTACTTCAGCTTCACAAATGTTTTTTTTCCAGTTAGTTGTGAAGGGAACATTTCTAATTTAAAAAAAAAGTTTTAGTTAATAATAACAACACTGGAAGAAATGGCTGATATTTATAAAGTTTTTCATAGAAGTTAATTTAGCGATTCATTAAGTTACTTAAATATTGTGGTTGGGTTTTATATTTAAAATGCAAATAGAGTCAATCAGAGTAGATCTGTTATCATATGACTAATAAGCAATATATGAAAGTGTGAATATCGGTTAGAGATATCGGTTATCGGCCGATCAGTGTTAGTTATCAGTGATGGTGATTCCTGATGACAGTGTGTTTTATGTGTGTGTGTGTGTGTGTGTGTGTGTGTGTGTGTGTGTGTGTGTTTCTCAGGTTTAGTGTTAACAGCAGAAAATGTCTCAAACAGGATTTAGTGCAGAAATAAGCAGCTTAACAGCCGTGAACAGAGTCACATTCAACTGAACCAAGAACTAAACACTCCACAATGCTTTAATGAGGACACTGACACACACACACACACACACGCACACTCTCACACACACTCTCTCTCTCTCTCTCACACACACACACACACACACGTACTCACATTGATTCTGCTGTCAAATGTACATCACAAAATCATGCCCGACTCGCATATTGCCACCAAATCCAAAGAGAAAAATCTGAAATTATTTGACATTAAAAAAATCAACCCTACTTTTTTGTGCTATGATTATATTTATATTTTATATTATATTATATGATTATTTTCATGGCATTTAAACACATTTTTCCTTAAATTCTCATCAGTGTAATGTGGATGAATCTGTGTCATGAGTTAGTGTTAGAAATATGAGCAGTATTTTATGCGGTGTGTGTGTGTGTGAGAGAGAGTGTGTGTGTGTGTGTGTGTGGGAGACACACACACACATGCACACGCACACGCGCACACAAACGCGCACACACACTCTCACACACACACACACGCACACACACATTCTCACACGCACACACACACTCTCACACACACACACACACTCTCACACACACACACA